GTGAAGAACTCTACTTTTGGAAGTGAAAGCAGAAGGAGGAAACAGATTCAAATCCCAGCTCTGGGCAGGTTACTTCACGTGGACTTCACTTTCCTCATCTGTAGAATGAAGTTGGACTAAGTGACCCCAGAGCTGAGGGCAGCGCCCGGCATATAGCAGGCACCCGCTAAATCTATCGATCAATTGGCCTCAGATTGGCCTCCATGGGATGGATATCTTACAGATTGAGGCTGGCTGAAATTTCACACAACTTCCTTCCTACTTTCTAGCTTCTGATGGCAGATCCTGTTGGATATGGATGCCTCCAAACCTTATATCTCTTCTGGACATATTCATATGTGCACACACCTCCTCTGACAGAGGAGGGAATCTCCCTGAGTTCAGGGAAAGTTTCACTTTGTATTCTCGGTGCTTAGCACAGTGGCTGACCAGAACATTTAGATGAGTCTTCTTGACCCCGAATCATCACACTCAGCCAAACCAGCTGCCCTAATTGTAGCATAGAGATGATGCTGGCTTTCTTAAGGCCACAACAGTGTAAGATTTGCTAAGTCCCACCAATCTGGAAAGGCTTTTAGTATGGCCCCAGGAATATACTCGGTCAACCTGAGGATGAGGAAAGTCATCCCCAGTGAGTAGGCTGGCTCCCAGGTGATTAATTCATTGATCATGGCTGTTGTTGTTTGTCCTTTGTTCTCGAAGAGGACCATGACATCAGGGAGGTGACGCCAGGACATGCAAGTGAACTGGATTTAAGTGAAGGAGGGCTGTGCAAAGTCACCAGCCTCACTTTCTCCTCTGGAGTCATTTGGGTCCAGGGGCAAGATACAGATCAGGATAACCAGAGATGGCCCTGGATGCAGCTGGGCACAGCAATCCTTTAAGAAAAGAATCAATATAAATATTTGGGTTTATCATTATTATTATTACTGTTACTATTTTTTGAGAACAAAATTCCACGTAAGTTTAGTCATGAAATTACTATAAAGCATTGAGAATTCACACATTTTTCCTATCAACAGAGCCTGGTATGAGATAGGTGCTTAATAAATACTTGTTGATTATTTGAACCTATGTTTTGCACATAGTAGGCACTTAATATTTGTTGAATTAAGACAATTCAGCCCTATTCCCAGGTGCCCGAGGGAGCTTACGCCATAGTATTTTTGTATAAAGCAAAAAAGATTCAGGGTTCTTTTCAGTACTAATTGGAAAAAGATGTAGACAGCGTATCAATCCAATTTTCAGATGTTATGATGGTGGCATGGATAGCTAGCAGACTGCATAATAAAGTCAGGATTCAAAAATTGTGGAATTAACAGGGTCAAATCAAATATGGTAAAACACAATCAGGATGAATGTCATCTTGCACTTGGATTCCAAAAATTGATTTCAAGAGTTTAAGACAGGGTAAGTGTAAGAAGATAATAAGTTTGCCTAAAAAAGATCTGGGGGTCTGGTTGACTGCCCATTCCCAATATGAATAAATAGCATAATATGGCAGACAAGGAAGCTAAAGCCATCTTTGGCTGAAGTGAGAGATGTGGCATCTAGGAATAAGCTGTATGCTGCCCTCGTCAGATCACATTTGGAATATTAGTTCAGGACAGACATGGATGAACCGGAGAGGATCTAGGAAGACAACCAGAATAGTGAAGGGTCTTGAGTCCATGCCATTGAACTGGTTGAAAACCCATGAAATGTTGAGCTAGGGACATGACAATTATCTCCAGATGTATTTGAGGGCCGTCACACAGATTAGAGATTGAAGCTAATGTGCTTGGTCCCAGAGGGCAGGACCAGATATTGGACTGCAAAGAAGTCAAATGAGACTTGGAGGTAAGGATAAAGCTTTCAAACAATCAGGGATGTTAAAAGTGGAATGGGCAGTCTCCAGAGGGAGTATGGGCTTCCCCATTAAATGGAGGCAGGATTACCACTTGATGGGGATTCTTGCTCAGAAATAGGCCAGATTAGTTTGCCTTAGAGGGCTCTTCCAACTTGGGTGATGATTTGATTCCACAAGGAAAGTACCATCTGCAGGGGTATTTTCCTTCCCAAAATACTAACAATTAGAACAAGGCAATTACATCCATGTCATTGATTCAAGGGATGCCATGAATAATAAAAATTCCTACTCGACTCAGAAAGAATTAAAACATTTATTGAGCATAAATATATTACATATACACTACAGATACAGTTAGGTATTACATATAGTGTAATATTTGCAAAATCTATACATTAAAATTGATATGGCAGTTTTAATACAATGCATGTGAAATAGTCTAAAATTTACAATACAGGAAAAAAACTTATGATTATTTCTCTCTTAAAGTTGAAAAGCTTGGAATGTATGTCCAACAGTGAGGTAAACCATTTTTTGTCTTTCAATTTAAAGAATTGTGCAAGGAAAACATTCAAACACTTCAGCTAGGGCACTTTTCAATTTTGACATGAATACTGAGTTACCGCAGCCAACCAACCAAGATTAGAAGACCCTCAATGTTTCAAGTTGATAAAAACAAAGTAGAGAATATGAAAAACATTTTGCCGCTTAAAAAGGCTCATCCCACCCCCCCACCCCCCCACCCCCCAATTAAACAATTTCTTTAAGGACTCAGATTGTTTGCTTCTTGTGACTGGAACTTCCTCAAGGCAGGGGCCGGAGGGTGTGACATATTGGGAGAAGTTAAGAGCATCAAGACGTGATTGTTTTCTACACAGCAACAATCATGAAACACTTTAATTTATTGTCCTGTGTATATTGGAGGCCTACGGTAATATTTAGCTCAAGTCAGTGAATGTCTACTGAGCACCTACTGTGATCAAGGCACTGTGCTCGGTGCTAAGGGAGAGGCAAAGGCCTCAGCAGTGTGTGTGTGTGTGTGTGTGTGTGTGTGTGTGTGAGAGAGAGAGAGAGAGAGGGAGACATGCTAAGCACTTCCTAATACTCATTGTGCTAACAAGTAGGATCCTGCAGGGTTGAGATTTGGGAGGAACAACCCCCTCATTTTATAGTTGGGATGCTGAGGCTAAGAGGTTTTGGGCTTACACAAGGTCACAGAAAGGATGCGGAGTAGAGCTGGTTTTTGGACCTGCACCTTCCAGCTCAAACCCAAAGCTGGACCTTTCCATTCCAATGACTCCGAGTAGCAATAATGGGAAGTGTTTTAGGTTTCTGTTTCAGCTCTTTCAGCTTATTGGTGGCAAAACAAAAAATTCTCAAAATCATAAAAATGGCCAGATAGCCAAAGCCATTTTGGCACAAACGATTATTACCCTATTAAACACACACACACACACACACACACCAAATACACACACACACACACGCAACCGATAGAGAGGATTTTGCTACAGCAGCAATTCTGAAGCACTCGCCCAACAGAGAAGAGTTTTTTCAAAATGGCAGGTGGGACAGAAGGGACAAGAGGGGAAAGCTGTACTTACTGAATATTCATTGCTTCAAAATAATGCATTTTCCAAAAACACCTGTTCCCCAAATGTAACTGCAAGGCCTGAACGGTTTGCATGGCAAATCCGTTAAAATCACGTGGGGGTAAATTTCAAAATGGCAGAACTTTGGCAAAAAGAGATCTCAGCGCTCATTTGCCAGGCTAATTCAACTCATTCTTATTGTTCATGATAAAACATCAAACTTCACTATGTCCTACACTGATCTAGGCACACAGCATGATTCGTGGATCTCAGTACTTTCTTGCAAGAGATGATTATGATTTCTGGATGCATGTAAACTTTGCAATCACTGATCATGGGTTGTTTTTTTCTTTTTTATTATTTATTTTTTTTTTTTGTTTTTGGCATTGAATATACTAGATGCTCTCATCTTTAAAAACACAAGAAAATGTCAAAAGATTAATAACACTACCAATATTGCCAGGGAGGAAAAAAAAAAGACTGACCTAAAATTACAACATTATAAAACAAGACAAAAAATATAACATGCTACCAGGGACAATTAGTACATAAGTACACTTTTTATTATTTTTTTTTTTACAATAAATAAAAGATTGCACTGTAATTGGTATTTAAAGTACTGAATGCAGAATATAGTATAAATAAATCCCAAACAAAGGTATGGTTGGTTTTCCCCATGACTTTGGTGATGGGAATCTCACGCTAGCACAGAAGGACACGGCATTGCAGACAATGCATACCAAGCATGACGGAGCTATTGGACCAAGCCAAACCAAGTAGCAAAAATATACAAAAAACAAACAAAAAATAAAACAAAAGCAGGGGATTACACTGTGTCTGTTGCACCCTTTTGGAATAATTTGCACCTCCAACTCTGATATGTCCCTGAGGTACTCTTACGTTACTGACTTCATATAAATAGTCCAATGACTTTGGGTTAAAAAAAAAAATTGATTCTCTCATGACTCCAAATCAGCGTGTCGGAATAATGCTTTGCGTGCAGCTTATAGCACCTGTTGTCCGAGGCTCTCAAAGCACTTACAAACAAGTATTAGAATCCCCAGTCTTGTTTTCAATAGCTGGGGAAACTGAGGCACAGAGAGGTTAAAGTGACTTTTTAAGGTCACGCAGCAAGTTAGTGACAGAACCAGGGACAGAATCTAGGGCTTCTGACTCCCAATACTCTGTGTTAACCACCAGATCACCCCACTCCCTGTGTGTGTATGTATAGCCAGGTCAAAACATGGTAAGACAAACTACGAATTTGTTTGATTTTTCTTTTGTCTTGTCAATTTCCATCTGCTCTGTTAGAATAGGCTTGTGTATACTGGTTAAATCGATACCTCAAAGAACGAGACAACCATCCGTCTATCAGCGAATCTTCCAAAAATAATGAGCTGACAAGGTGAAGGGGAGAGAGAGAGAGAGAGAGGGAGACAGAGAGAGAGAGAGAGAGAGAGAAGCAACAGAATGAAAGACAGGAAAGGAGAGAGGGAGAGAAAGAGAAAGAGAGAGGGAGAGAGAGAGAGAGAAGCAACAGAATGAAAGACAGGAAAGGAGAGAGGGAGAGAAAGAGAGAGAAAGAGAGAGAGAGAGAGAGAGAGAGAGAGAGAGGGAGAGAGAGAAAGAGACAGACTGCTCATGGTTAGTGTAAAATTGCCTGCAATCAGCAGAAGCAGAAAGCTGTCACCAGTCCGAGTCAGATAATTCATGTCCAATGTAACAGAATATAATAAAATCTAGTGATTAGATTAGGAGTAGTTATATACAAGGCTAGACAAACAAGGTAAAGCAGCTTTCAGACAGCTGACCAAGGAGATTACTAGGTAGCTATTGCACAATGCCCTCTTAGAGTTACTGCTATGGATTGACATGGGAAAAATCTAGAATGCGCCATCACTGATATGCATTTTGGTTACTTGATTTTTTTTTATAGAGGCAGTTCATAGTGTTAAAAATTATAAGAATAACAGATTATAAAAATATTTTAGCCTGTAGTACACATTCTGATTTAAATGAGCTAATCATCGTTAAATAACTGAGTGACAAATAAAAATAAAAATAAACAGTAAATGGTGCTTAGGGCAGATGCCTTGTAGTGAATCAGTCTCATGCAACGTTGTTGGCGATACTCCAAATATCTGTCTCATTCACTTACAACAGAACTCCCACCCTATCGCTACACACATTGTAACTGATTAATGTTTACAAGTATACGATGATTAAAAAAAAAAAAGACATAAAGAAGTGACTGGTGATTATTGTCTACTAAACGGTAACATATAAAAATTGAAGGTTGAGAAAGACACCGGTGAAAACAGTGTGGAGGCAAATTGAAAGAAAAAAATGAAAAGAAAACTCAGCGGGAGGAAAGTTTGCTTTTGGTATCTGGTTTGCTTATTGATCCAGTTGAACCTCTTCCTAGTTTTGCATTTCAAAAAGGTGCACCAAAACACTGATATTTTATTCCTAGCTAGAACTGTAAAACAAGAGAAGTATATAAATCAAAGAACAAAAAAGGTTTTTAAAAAAATTTTCTTTTAAAAAGGACTATCTGGATAAATGTTGTGTATTACAATGCGTAGCATTACCTAAATTCATACCTCGGACTCTGTTGGACTGGACTACTTCATTAAGAAGTATTGTAATATAAAGGCAAACAAAACGGACAGGCCCGCGAAGCCAAGGACGATGAGGGCTGCAAATTGTCCATCAGTAGGCATTGGGCTCTTCCTTTTGGGGTCGTCGAAGCACCCCATGTCTCCCGCGAGCATCATCTCGTTCCGCTGTAGCACAAAAGCGGCCGAAGGGCTGAAGGCTCCACTCAGCTCCTGTGAGGTATCTAAGCAACGGCGACACACGCACACGCGGAATCGGTAATCAGTGTTGCTCTGGAGGCCTGAGATTTGGAAGGTTGCGTCTTCTCCCTTGTACACCTGGGCGAGAGAAATGGGAAAGTCACGGTTAATGCACTTCACAAAGGCAAGCGAGCCAGGAAAGTCATCTACGTCCATGTGGGGCAGCAGGGAGCTCCATAGTGCCCAGAGTGCTGGCGAGTCAGAGAGACCTGAGACGGAACCTGGTCTCAGACTCCTCCTAGCTCTGGGACCCTGGGCACGCCACTTAACCTCTGCTCGCCTCAGTTTCTTCATCTGTAAAATGGGGATAATTACGGCACCTTCCTGGCAGGACTGTTGTGAGGATTAAATGAGAGAATATTTGTATGGTGCTCAGCACAGTGCCTGGCACTAGTGAGTGCTATGTAAATGTTAGCTATTGTTATGATTAAAGCGCTATGTAAACTTTAACAATTATTATTATTAAAGTGCTATGTAAAGTTAGCTATTGTTATTACTAAAGTGTTATACAAAGGTTATTATTATTAAAGCACTATATAAATGTTAACTATTATTATTATGAAAGTGCTATGTAAATGTTAGCTATTGTTATTTAAGCATTATGCAAAGATTACTATTATTAAAGCACTATATAAAGGTTAACTATTATTATTCAGGTGCTATGTAAATGTTAGCTATTGTTATTATTAAAGCACTTTGTAAAGGTTACTATTATTATTATTAAAGTGCTATGTAAATTGTTATTAAAGTGTTATATAAAGGTTATTAAATCACTACATAAATGTTAACTATTATTATTATTAAAGTGCTATGTAAATGTTAGCTATTGTTATTATTATTATTATTATTATTAAAGTACCATGTAAAGGTTACTATCATTATTATCAAAGTGCTATGTAAAGGTTAGCTATTGTTATTATTAAAGAGCTACGTAAGGTTACTATTATTAAAGTACTATATAAATATTAACTATTATTAAAGTGCTGTATAAATATTTATCATTATTATTGAAGTGCCATATAAATGTTAACTATTATTATCAAAGTGCTACATAAAGGTTAGCTATCACTAAAGCCCTATATCAATGTTAACTATCACTATCATCATTATTAAAATGCTATGCAAATGTTAGCTTTTATTATTATACGACAAAAAGGGCCATGGCGATGACCTATATACATACAGTATGGGAATTCACTTGCCTTAAGGTTCAATTAGATAAGTATTTGTTCATGACCTATAAACGTTTTTATGGCGTGGCGATCTTTTACTTTTACATCACCTTAATTTCTGAACGTTCCCAGGCCACACGCAGCAAGCCCACCTCTTGTAGCAAAGAATAAAGAAGGAAAAAACCAGTATCAGCTGAGACTGAGTACATGCCATGTTCTATACCCAGAGCTCTGCAAAGCTACTTTGCAAGGAACAGAAAAGCAGCTATTTTCTCATCTCCTTTTGGAAGTTGAGCTTTCCAACAAATAATTATCAGGCATCTGCTCTGCACAAGGTACTTGGCTAGGCGCTGGAGAGATATATACAAAAACTAAACAGCAGCTGCCCCCCAGAGAGCTAACATCCTGCCCCCTTATAATTACTCCTATTAATCACCCCATTACTACCCTCCTCCTTTAGAGCAATATGACTGCTTTCAGGAGGCTGGAGGGTCTGAAATAACAACGCAGTTTCCAGATACTTTGTCATCCATTTATTAATTACACATTTAATCAAGCACCTACTTACTTACTGTGTATCAGGTATCGTGGCACTAAAAATACAAAGACAAGGGTAAAACAGTGTCTGCCTTTCACATTGTCTAGGATTTAGCACAGTGCCCGGCACATTGCAGCTACTTAAATGTTGACTGTGACTCCAGCGCTCCAACAGATTGTAAACCCCTTGAGGACAAAGTCTATTTCTTTTCATTGCATCACAAATGCTTAGCATACAGCAGGGCTCGATAAATGCTTAGTGAACAGATGAATAGTGCTTACAGTCTATAATATGTGCAATATAAAATACATACATAGTAAATGGAAAGTAGTTTCCCCCCGTTAGGGTGAAATTAGATAACACCTTGTATAGGCCAATGGTGTCAAACTCAAATATTGATCAACTGATCACTCAATAAACATTTATTTAGCTCCTAATATGTACCAGGCACTGTACTAAAAACTCCCTGCAGGCAGCATACTGACTTGGAAAACCACAAAGTAACATTATCTCTGTTGCGCTGTATTTTTATTATTTATGTATATTTATTTATGTTATGCATATTTATAATATAAATATTATGTATTTATTTAATATCATGTATTTATTTATTTATTTCTTTTGTTAAATATTTCCTAGTTGCTGTTGAGTCTGGCTTCTGTGTTTGCAAAGCATCTTACAAATATTATCTCATTTTATCGTCACTTTTACAGGACTCTGAGGCAGTCAGAGGCAGCCACGCAGCTAGCAAATAAAAAGATAGGATTCAAAACAAGGTCCTGCGATTCTAAAACCGGCATCCTTTCCACTGTATTAGGCTAGAAAATCACTGCTCTCATCTGAGGACAGGAGCTATTTTGTCTTTTCTCATTTTACTGTCAGCACCTAGCGATGCGTAAGTGTGGCAGTTCATTTATTTATATATGTGTTTGTTTATTCATTCATCTATTTATTGTTTTCTAATTTCTAATTTTCATTCATTCACTGGTAGCTCTTAATAAATGACTAGAATCTCTGAGTGTAAGGAGTCAGAAGGGGTCAGCAGAAGCCCCAGTGCCTGCTTCTCACTGGTTCCCATCCTGACCTCAACTGTGAAGTTTAACATGACTGTTTTTTCTTAGTGGCTACCATTTAGGGTGCTATTTCTCGCAGATTTAGCCTCAGAACACCCAGGCTATTCAGACATGCCCAAATGTTATCATCTCTCTCTCACTGTTCTGTTTACAAGAAGTCACTTCTCCATGCATGTTACGCTTTCTCATGAGCAAGAAGATTTTGACTTGTGCCTTGGGAAGGGGGATTATGATTTTAACAGCAAGGTGCAAATAAATAACAAGTCTCACTAAAGGGTCCACGAATATCCTTTCCTGCCCTCTAAGACAATGACTCGGTCCACGGAATCCAATGCCATGGTGTTCTTTCCCTGGGGCTAATTCCAGAGTTTAGAACAATCCAGGAAGGCATCATCCCCAGTCAGAATCATTCCTCAATATATGAGCAACATCAACCCAACATCCAAGTCCTCAGTTGAGTGGAAGGGACCCTCTGGTCTGGGAGCTTGATAGGAAAAATATAGACCAGTGTTTGTTTTCTGTTCTAGGTGCTTTTTTTTTTTTTTCCTTGGGGCCACCACTGTCTCCATAGTTAGAAATCAACACAGGAGTTTTACTTTATGAAAGCAGTTCCACCTAAGTTTGTTTGTGACTCAGTTTCTCTGAATGTTAAGTATTTGCTAGCTTTCTCACAGTGACAGAATGGGAGAGAATTACAAGACTCTAGTAAAACATGGAGGAAAGGCATCATCTAAGCCTCAACTACATGCCTCCCATTGCCTGGCACAAGGTTCTGCACATAACAGATGAGGTAATGTGCTATGCTAGAAAGAGCATGGATTTTGGAGTTAAAAGACCTAGGTTCTAATCCTGCTTCAGACACTCCTAGGCAAGTCACTAAATGGCTCTGTGCCTTAGTTTCCTCATCTGTAACATGAAGGGGTTGAATTCAGGCTCTAAGCTCCATTCTAACTTTAAATTTATGATACTATGACTTCCCCACGGCTACACAGGCTGGACCTGAACCCTGGTTTTCCTAATGAAATACAAGTAGCCAAAATTCCCCTTGGAACAGGGTAATTCCTTGGAAACATATTATCTGTGAGTATTTTAGCATTAATACTCACAAAAAATAAAATATTTAAGTAGCCTGATATTTAATGCCATCTTAAAGGGGCAAAAACGAACAAAATAACTCCAGCTAGCCTTAAGAATTCTATAACCATCCCCCAAACAAAACAGCTGGAAAGGGGATCCTTTGTGATGAGCAGAGCTGCAATCAGAAAATGGCCTTCACTTCCAGAAAATGATTACACTTCAATTTATTCCCTGTCCTATTCTAGCTCTGCCCCCAGCAATGGAGCGGAGAGCCAGTCCCCAATAAAACAGCTCTGTATACATTTGAATCCCCTTATTGTGGGCTCTTGGCCTTTTCTTGTCTAAGCTAAATGACACCATCATCTCTGTAACCCTTTGATGACTGCTGTGTCTTCTTCCTGAACCCTGTCCAAGCTCTGCGATTGTGCGTTCCAGGATAGAACACCACGAAGGTCTGATCAATACACAAGAGTCCCTCCGACGTCCTGTCCCCTCATTCATGCATTTAAACGTGGTGCTCCTTCTTTTACTAAACGACGGTACCACGCGGCTCATCCCTTGGTGTGCCCATCTTCCCAGCTGAATTCTCCTTGCTCTCAGCCCCTCATGGCTGTGCCCCACTTGTGAGCCGGGCTGCTCTTTCTGACTCCCTTTCTAGTCATGAACAGAATGTTCCTGACCTGCTCATGGAAAGACACACTAATAGAAATCACAGGATCACAGCCTCAGGAGGGACCTCCGAGGACGCTCAGTTCAACCTGTATCGGAAGAAAGAATTCTACATGTATGAGCACAGGTGATCTGGGCTCCAAGACTCACTACCTCCCCAGGTAGTCCACGCCATTTGGCCAAGTTTTCTATCCATTGTCTGAAAATTCCCATAAAGTTGAGTTTGACGTCATGCTCATCCCATCACTGACATGGTGAGGTGCCATGATTATTTCACATGTTTTTGTCTCATCTCCTCACAGTTTGTAAGCTCTATGGCAGTCCTGATTTCTTCTTAATCCTCAGGAGTCCTGAGCAGAATGCTGTATCCACACCACCCAGATGGACAAACAAAAAGAATCCATTCATAGAATGCTCAGTAAATTACCACCAGTGATAAATGATGACAAACGGGCCTGTCGTTCTACTGGGCCTACCACCTGCCCCTAGTAAGCAGGGATAGCAAAATTAGGAAAAATGCACAGATGGTGGTGTTCCTTTTAATACACA